TTAAATCTGTTCTGTGAATATGATTGTTTAATGATGCTGGGTGGTCTCACTAGGTTATTGTAAGCATAAGGTGCCTATGGCTTTTTGTAGGGACTTTATATTCAAATATAGATATAAGCCTAGTCAGGTGCTTAAATCCATTCCCTGGCATCTTGGCCTCATTCTCAAAGGTCCTGAGCAACTGAACTTCGACCGACTTCAGTGGGAACTGGGGTTTCTCAGAACCTCTGAAAAAAGAGGCCAAGGTGGCAAAATACAGATTGGGAGACCAATTTCAGCTAAGTACATTTGAAAACTTTGGCCCGTTTTCACAGACCCTGAAGTGTGAGAGGCTGAATCACTGAACTCCTGCAAGGCAGGGTTTGTTATAGTACCACATAAGTCATCCTTTAGAGACATGTTACAGTAAGGTTTTCAAATGATGCAATTGGTTTTCACCATGTTATTTTAAGCTAGCCTACCATCAGTCCAACTAAATGCTTATCCCCTACAACAAAAAAGCACTTCCATTTGCAGGTAACTGGTCAGCTACATCCTGCCTTTTTTTCTCCATGGCATCATGAGCAAAGCCCTGCCTATCCCCTCAAATGGAATCTTGTGGCAACGTTTATGAGGGCAAAGACTTTCACAGCCATCTAGGCAAGACATTTAGCTATGCTCTGGGGTTCCCCTCTTCTCCAGCGAATCCTCATAATCTCTCTTATAAACCACTGGGAACTTAGCTGACCTCCTGTAAAAGTCCCTGTTCCACCCCCATCAGAACCACTAGCCTTCCTCAGCGGATAGGTAAACAGTACTACCCAGCACCATTCCTGCATTGATCTAAAAAAGGTCACTACAGAGCACAGCAAGGACTGGGCACACTCCCTGACTCTGCAACACCTCCTGCCAGTAGACCAGAAAATGAAACTTTGGTTGTTGATCAGTGAAGTCTCTATAAACTGAACAGATTCTTTTTAAATTATGTATTCTCAGACTCCCATAAAGTTTTTCTGGTGTACATACACACCACAACTGAAACTAAGGAAAACTTCATGGAATTCTCAGAACACACAATTTGTGAGGAATCTGTTCGTGTGTTCTCTCTCTCTCTCACACACACACAGCTGGTAGCAGCACTACTACTGAATGAGGCAGGGGTTCTGCAGAAAAAATAGTATGTGATGATGAACTTAAAGACTATCATAAAGCATATGCACATGGGGGCAAATTAAGGTTACACTGGCAAGCTTTAGCATTTCCTAACTTCTGAGTGCTTGACTTTACAACTTTTCAGCATACTAGAGTTATGCAGTCAACTCCCCTTATTGCGCCTTTCTACCAGCTACCACTCAAGTCCTAGCAGACTGGAAATGGGCTTCCCCCAGCATGCAGTTCCTTTGGCTAGAGTACCTTACCTCTTTACATAGCGGAGTCCGCCCGGTGCACTTGGGCTGCTGGTAACTCTTGGGCAAGGCTCGGTAGCTGGAGCCCAGTCTCTTACAAGAGGCATAGTCTATCTCCATGGCAATCCCCTCTGTAGCCCGTTCTTTTGGAAATGTCTCCATGTGAACAGACTCTTTGTAACCCAGAAAGTTTTTAAACCAAGTGAACAGTTCTGGGAATTTCCTAAGGGAAAAGAAACGTACAAGAAAGCCTTGAAAACTGTAGCAACTTAGAAATCAAATACCAGTGCTCTAAGCTATTGGGGTCAGAGCTGCCACTTGAGAGAGAGCGTCCAAGACGGCCCTTGGAAGTCACATCTGAGGACAGAAGACTCTTGGCCACTCAATTCCAGTTTGCGGTGGCCTGGTAAGGGGATGCCAGTGCAGAAAGTCATTCTGCTTTTCTTTGGATTGTTCCTGCCTCTATCCATCTTGAAGGCTATTTTTTTTTTTTTTTTGGTGGCAAATGCCTTCCCATCTGGGAGCCTGTTGCCATGATGTCTGAGATCAAACACTTTTCTTCTGCCTCATCCTCACTCATCTCAAAGGCTGTGTTCATATGAGGAACTGGGTCTGCAGCTTCTCCCAGAGCAGGCAAGACTTGCCAGGAGCACTCTGACAACATTTTCAAACTGAAATCTCTGACCATTTAGGTTAGATATGAAAGCCAGTTGGCTGGTTTCTCACCCATCTGGGCACTCAGCCTTAAAATAGATCATTACTTTCCTGATTGGAAAGGGGTAAAGAAGTTGAACATGGATTCTCAGACTCCACTGAAGAAAAATTCCACCTTTGAAGAGTGAGCCTCACACCACCAAAGCTTCAGTTGGTGTTGCACAATTAGGTGGAAGATTTAGAAAATACAAGCTGACATGCAAGCAGATAGATGTTGGTAACTGAAGTGGATTCTGCTTGTGAAAAAATAATCTTACTCTCTGAAGACTTTATTAGAAACTAAAAGTGAATAATCACAGTTACAACATAACTGGCATCATAGAAACTTGGTGGGATAATTCACATGACTGGACCATTGGTGTAGAAAGATAAGCTTGTTCAGAAAGGACAAGCAGGGGGGGGAAATGGAGAAGGGGTTGCCTTGTATATTAAAGATGTATGCACTTGCACTGAGGATGAGATAGAAGTGAGAGGCAAACCTGTTGAAAATCTCTGGGTAAGGATAAAAGGGGTAAGAAAAACAAGGGTGATGTTATGGTAGGTGTCCACTATAGACCACCAAACCAGGAAGAATAGGTGGATAAGCCTTTTTCTTTTCTTTTTTTTTTTAAACAACTAATACAATTATCCAAAACACAAGACTTGGTAGTGATGGTGGACTTCAACTACCCAACCACCTGTTGAGAAAATAATGCAGCAGGGCACAGATTATCCAACAAGTTCTTGGAATGCACTGGAGACAACTTTTTATTACAGATGGTGGAGAAAGTGACTAGAGGAGAGGCTATTCTAGATTTGAGTCTAACAGAGGAACTGATTGAGAATTTGAAGGTGGAATGCAGCTTGGGTGAAAGCGATAATGAAACAAGAGTTTATGACAATGGACTTCAAGAAGGCAGACTTTAGAAAACTCACAGAACTGGTAGGTAAGATCCTGTGGGAAGCAAGTCTCACAGAGTTCAGGAGAACTGGCAGTTTTTTTAAAGAGACCTTAGAGTACAAGAGCAAACTATACCAGTCCATAGGAAAGGATGGATGTATGGTAAGAGACCACCCTGGCTTAACCAGGAGATCTTCAACATACTGAAACTCAAAACAAAGCATGCAGAAAGTAAAAACTAAGTCAAATGACAAAAGGATGAATATAAAAAAAAAAAAACCACACACACAAGCACATAGGGACAAAATTAGAAAGGCCAAGGCACAAAACAAGATTAAACTAGCTAGAGGCATGAAGAGTAACAAGAAAACATTTTACAAATGTGTTAGAAGCAAGAGGAAGACCAAGAACAGGCACATTAATTTAATGAGGAGGGAAATACACTAACAGAAAACACAGCAATGGCTGAAGTGTTAAATGCCTTTTTCATTTTAGTTATCACCAGAAAAGTTAGCAGTGCTTGGACAACTAACACAATGAACGTCAGTATAAATGGGCGAGGATCTGAGGCTAAAATAGGAAAAGAAAAGTTTAGAATTACTTAGACAAGTTAGAGGTCCTCAAGTGACCAGGGCCTGATGAAATACATCCTAGAATACTTAAGGAACTGGCTGAAGAGATCTCTGAGCCATTAGTGATTATCCTTGAGAACTCATGGAGGACAGATGAGATCCCAGAGAGCTCAAAAAGGGCAAATATAGTAACTATCTGTAAAAAGTGGAATAAGGACAATCCAAGGAATTACAGACCAGTCATCTTAACATCTGTCCCCAGAAAGATAATGGAGCAAATCAAACAATCAATTTGTAAGTACCTAGAAGAAAAGAAGGTAATAAGTAACAGTCAACATGGATTTGTCAAGAACAAATCATGTCAGACACACTTAATATCCTTCTTTGACAGGGTAACAAGCCTTGTGGAAGGAGGGGGGAGCAGTAGATGTGATGTAACTTGACTTTAGTAAAGCTTTTCATACTGTCACACATGACCTTCTCATAAACACACTAGGGAAACACAGCTTAGATGAACCTAGTAAAAGGTGGGTGCACAACTGGTTGGAAAAGCATACTCAGAGAGTACTCCTTCCTAAGCAGTCCTTTCCCATTTTATATTTGTGCAATTGATTATTCCTTCCGAAGCGTAGTACTTTGCATTTGTTTTTATTAAATTTCATCCTGTTTATTTCTAACTACTTCTCCAGTTTGTCAAGATCATTTTGAAGTCTAATCCTGTCCTCAAAAAAGCTCGCAACCTCTCCCAGTTGGTATCTTCCACAAACTTTATAAGTGCACACTCTCTGCCATTCTCCAAATCATTTATGAAGATACTGCATAGAACCGGATCCAGGACAGATACCTGTGGGACCTCTCTCAATATCTCTTGCAGCTTCATTGTGAACCATTGATAACAAGACTGGGGACTGAACTAGATGGGTATGTTCTGTATCATAAAGTTAGGACAAAATTACTATATTTACTGGGAGAAATATTTCACAATCGCAAAGCAAGAGGCTGCTAGGACACCATTGTTTGACCTTCTGAAGAAGGGCAAAAGGGCCAGTAATAACAGCACCACTTCTGCACTCCTCTCAGCTGCCATTTCATTCCTTGGAGTCTCTAGGAAGTCACAAAGCTGCCTCTTTCAGGCATTTCACCAGGAAGGGAAAAGGGCAGTCATCAAATCAGGCGACAATGTGCAAGAAAAAACAGAATAAGAATGGCTGTTCTTTTGCTTCAATGAAGGACAGCCAAAGAGAAGAATCTAAAATCTAATGCACTTTGAATTTATAAAATACTTATAAAGGATCTCGAAGTACAATTAGTGTTCCTTTTATCTTATAGGCCTGCTAATAGCATGTGGCACCTTGCAACCTACAGTCATAATACGAAGTGTTCAGGCAGGGCTGGAGGTGACACATTTGGATCTCAGAGGTGAACTGGTATTAGCTCACTGTTGTAAGGCCAACTCCCTACCAGTTATTTTGTGAAAAGAATTAAGCAAGCAGCAGGGCACACAGATAAACTAGTCAACACTAACGTTCCATCTCTGGTGCACACCCTTTGTGCTGCAGGTTGCTCAGGAAATCAGATACCCAGTCAAACTATTGAAGCTTTGGAATGCTGGGCAACAGAACCAATTGAATGTTCTCTTTCTTTAAATGGCCATGCAAGTCAGCATTTCCTTCCCAGCACCCGAACAAAAACAGACTAGATCCCCTATCACCACCCACCTCCAAGCTCTGACCACATACAGAAATGGATTTGCCCATCCTCCACTTACCCCAAGAACGGAGAAACTAGCTGCACAAGCTCAGCCCGGGAGATCACCTCCTGATTAAAAATAACCAGGCAGCGAAGAAAATTTTCATACGCCTCCGTGCTACGCAGAGCCTTGCGGACCTTACATATATATATGGGAGGAAGAAAACAGTCAATACAGAGTTCAGAATGAGTGCAACCTAGACTCAATACTGTGTTCTCAGGTGTTATCCTGAACAGATGAGGTTACTCACACAGCCAGAATCAGACAGACACTCTCTTTTAGACTTGGGAGTTTTATGCATTGCATTTAAATACATTTCCCCTGCCCATGCACTACTACTGTGAACAGGTAAGGTATAAGAACCTTTGTAGAATAGAACAGAACATAAGTTAAACTGGGTCTCTGGTTCTCACTTGCGCAGACCATGAGGCAAGAATGACGACTGATCCAAGAATGCCATTCTCCTAGTGGACACCCTCCTACACTCCAAAGAGGTAAGCAATCAAGATGTTTGTGTCCACCCATAAGGAGAAGAGTAAAATATGGGACGACCACTGAGAAGAGTCTCAGTCAAAACTGGTTCACAGAACACTGCAAGCAGAGACTACAACAGCTGTCTGTTGTTCTGCTTCTAGAAACAGACGCGTCACACAGGTAATCCTCTACCCACTAGGGCAAACTGCAAGTCCAGGTAACAGAACAATTCCTTGTAGCCTAACAAACAGTAATCCATGCTACAATAGTCACAACTGACTTTTCAGCTTGCATTATCACCACAAAGTGGTGTTTGTAACCCTCCTCTTCTCAGTCAGACACAGCTGAATCAGATTCTTTAGAACACCATTACCTTCCCACATGAGAACGATTTGCATCTACACATCAAATAGAGCAGTAGCATCATCAGGTTATTCATCGTTGTGATTCAGACTCTACTGCAAGGATTTCTACATTTACTCAGGTTAACACCTCAGTGTTTTCCAAGCAACATATGGGCTTTTGGTTACCATTACCTGGCCTGAAAACTGTGCCATGTCCCAGGGACCAAGATGGTGTCACTAGCACGTGGATATATAGTTAAAATGACCATTTACCTGGGGTTACATGCTCCATGCAATGGAGGAGAGAGAAAATTGTGGACACATCAGGGAAGAGGACAAGGGACTACTTGGAGACATCCCATACTGCCTACCTGCCTCAGTCTAGTCTGTGTGGCCAGGAGATGTGGCAAGAAATAGGTAACAACTGCACAACATGGTATGTTACCACTCAGGAAAATGTAGCTTACAATGCAACTGACTCATTTAAGCCAAGTTCCCTCACTTCATGCAGTTGGACAGGGGAAGGGAATGGAAAGAGTGACAGTGCCAACACAACAAGGTAGGTCAGTCATGTCACCAGTAGCATACGGGGCCTGGAGTGACGGGAGATAAATGTGAACTATGAACAAAGGTGCCTTTTCTTGCAGATTTTTGTCTTCCATGAGAATTGGCAGTCACAACCCCTGACAGTTAGGCTCTGCTGCCAACTCTACCTACCCAGAGGGGACAAAACTGTGGATCAAAGGCAGCTGAAGAGCCAGAGATGGACTTTAGGGGCAGGGACATGCACAGAATTTTTAAAAATGAATATATATCAGATGTAAAGACCAGCTGCTGGCACACGTAGTTAAAAGATGACAGAAATCTCATTCTGGAGAGAACGCCACAGACTTTGCTGTGTATACTCACATTGGAAAACCAATTTGCTCTGAGCATGAATCAGATGCGCAGAACTGTCTATTCAGAATTTCATCACTCACCTTCTCAAAGAACAGAGATTCTGTCCCCACCCCATGTTTGCTGGCTTCTGCCAATGACTGGTCCTTTAAACCAAGCAGCTTTGGTTTCTTCTGCAAAAAGCAAAAGTAAAACCACAAAAGAGGGATTAAAATATGCAATAACCATGTTTTGCACATCTATCATGCCAGGGCATGTGTTTCAACTTCCCTGACACCCCATGTACAGTACATCGTTGCTATAATGCCCTTCATTATTATGAACCTTTGGCTATCACGAACCTGGCTCCTGGAGCCTAAGTACAGTACAATACTGTACTGTGTTTAAAAAAACAAAAACATTTTGCACATGCCTGCACAATTTTTATCCAGCCTTATATGTTGAGCCCAAGGGCAGAAACTAAGGAGTGGGCCCCTACCCCACCTCCCCTCTCCCGCAGCTGAAATCCAGAGTCACAGCCCCACCGCTCGGGGCTGAAAGCCCAGAGCCCCAGCCCCCCATTCGTTTTGATTGTCTTTTTGCTATAACAAACCCCTGGCTAACGAACAAAAGACTTGGATCCCAACAGGTTTGTTATAGCGAGAATGTACTATACTTTCAAATAGAGCAGTCAACATCAAGTTTTTAGGAGGAGAATTATATTTGAGTTTCTACTGGTACCCCAAAATTAAAATATTCACTTCGCTTCCCTCTTTGTTTCCCCTGGACTTTGCATAATTGCTTTCCCCACATTCCTATTTGATGGGCGGGGAGGCTTTATTTTTCACTAGCAGCAAAACTTCAAATAATGTTTAATCATCAAGTCACTTGCAACAGTCATTGCACAGAATACACCTCAATATATTAGTTCTCTACTTAACAATGAAGACAAACTTCTTTTGATTTCTGCCAGAATCTCTCCCACCTACTCCAATCTTGCACCTCCCCATAGTTTCTGCATTTCTTTGCTCTCTTCTTTTATTTGTTCCCAGGGTCTTCAAGGATCCCTCCCTCCCACAGATGCACATCTCATTCTCAGAGGATTGCTGGAAGCTGACCGTTATTGTCATTTGCTCTGTCATTCTGGAGGCAAGGGGGATTAAATTACTAGAGAGATGGGTGCTGTTCCTGTCCTTTACAAAGCAAAATGCAGAGGTCTGGGATCACTGGATAAGACTACCAGCACAGGGAGAAAAGAGGCAAACTTGACCCTTACAACCTCAATACCCAAACACTAGACCACTTTGCCATTTCTGTTTCATTGCAAAGCCTTATCCACCCAGAAACTCTGGTAGCTTGTAAAGACAAGGCTTGGCTAACAGAACACAGACTCATCAGAACTCTCAAATTACCTTTATCATGGGAAGAACAGACAAGAGTCCAATGTACCTGCACTGAGTTTTGATTTAATGCAACCTCTGCGATACACGGTAACTAGTCCCCTTTTTTACTTCCCCCAAATGCCTTGAGAACAGCATTGCAAGCTTTTTAGACAACCTGTCACTTGGTCAAATTTACTGAGGCTTCTCCCTATCTACTCCCTCCAAATGCTGCTTTATTAAATAAAACAATATAATCAATAAACATATCCCTGTGTATTCTCTAGCAACATAGGAAAAGAAACTAAGCACTGTTCCTCTTACTCCACTGGTAACTACTGCCACGCTCACACAGGCTGCATCTAAGTCTCTAGCCCTCTTTGTATGGATACTACTAAAACCTGCACGTAAAAGCAGACCTAAAAGGGTCTAACCAGAAGCCTGGGCAGGTCGCCTTCACCCTCAATCTAGTCATAACCTGGACTGTGAGCCTCAATATAAACAAGTACGTAAAGTGCATTATATTCTGTGCCCTCAATTTTCACTTATTACCATTACTTCCTCGAGAAAAGCTGTGAACTATGCATGTTCTTACCTTCACTGGTGGGGTTGCTCCAGTTCCTGAGTGCCGTCTGATTTGACAGCCATTTTGGTTGGGTCTTTGTTGCTTGTTGTTGAGCTGGGGTTTCTTGATTGTTCCACCATGGTCATTTCTCACCGACTCCACTTTCTCTGCAGTTGTCTTGCTTAAAAGCTTATTTAAAAAAAACCCACAAGACTATTAGTGATGTGAGCTTCTGGTGCTGGGGCAAAGGTGCATGTGAAACCCCATCACCTTAGCTCTAGCTGACCAGTGCATTTTACAGCAGTGATTATAGTCCTAGAACAGGTCTTTGAGGCACAGGAGTCACATTTAAAGATTTGTCAACAGAGGCTGTATTCCCTGCCCTCTTTTCCCCATGTGCAATGAAAGACTGTTTGAAAACACATTTAGCAAACAGGAAAGCAGTGTACTTTTCTGAACTCAGTTTTCTTGCATAGCCAGCTTTCTACCAACTAATTAGTGGGGTTGAACTCACCACAGAGCTGTTAGCATCTGGCAGGAACTGCCCAAACTCAGAGAGTAAATCCTCCTGGTTCTTGAAGAGGCGCGCCACCTGTGCATACACCTCCTGCTCTGTCAAAGCTGGTGTGTAGTTACCACCTGCCTCCTTGGCATTCCGCTGCTCTTTCTGTCACAGGAACGGGGATGTGTGAGAGCAAAGGAGACAAGAACCATTACAGCTGCCTTCCCTAGTTTCTGCTTTTCTTTCTCTAGGGAGCAATACTTAATGCAACTCAAAACATTCATCCCTGAGCTGAGTTTATGTTTGTTGCTCCTGTATTGCTAACTGGAAAATCAGCAACCGAAAGAAAAATTGAAGATGGTGGCTGGCAGCTCCTCTGAAAACAAAAGAGTCATTCCAAATGCTCAGGGGGCAAACATCAACTGATAGGGTACCGATGCCGGATAGCTTGTTCTCTCTCCTTCACATTACTGTATGTAGATGCATTATATGCATCACCCCTCTATGTCCCAGGTTCATACAACATTTGCGTTTAAAAATACTGCCCACTATTTCAGATAATTGCAACTACAGACAAATGCTGATTTGGCACTGTTAACTCATGCAAAGTTAAACTGGTTTGAAATACACAAGTTGCCCCCCCACAGCTAATTGTTTACTACTTGAAATCCCCAAGTATGTCAATCTTCCGCATAGCCCCTTCAAATACACAATACAGGTGTAAGTTAATTTTCTATGGTAAGGCATGACACACACATTTATACATACTCAAAAGCACCTGCATGGGTAGTGCATGTATACAGTGTTCCACTAACCTGATACGTGTGGAGGATCTCCAGGAAGGCCTTATAGATGTCTGGTTGTCCCTGGAACCGATTCTTGATCTTGTTGACATAGTTGATGGCATGATTAAACTCAACCGGCTGATTGTTCTGCAGGGATGGTGTGGTTCCAAGAGAGATTGTCACAGGTGTATGAGGCTGCACAGGTGGAGAGCGTGGTGATGCATATGGAGGAATTGGGGGAGTCTGCTGGCTGGCTGGCGTATGTGCCTGCAATTGTGATGGCTGAGAAGAAAAGGGACACTTAGTTTTGTCTTAGAGATTTGCGTTGCGGTAGTTTATTTCATTCAGATCAAATCCTAGGAAGAGAACAAGTAGTATTAGAACTCAACAAAATCAGTCGCACACAATAACCCGGCGGGGGGAGGAGATGTTCCCACAACTGATGCCAATAGCAAAGCACCATGCACGGGGTACCTCTGTGAGATGGAAGCTCTCAGTCTACCCAAGATACTTTGATTTGACCAATGGAGAGGCTGAGTAGGCTGGACATACCTTGATGATACTAATGCCCAGTGAAATAGCCCCACCCATATGTTTTAGCACTGGGATTTGTGGCATGCTCATTTCTTGGTGTACTTAACTCCACAGCTGGGAGTGTTACAGCAAATTTTTTTTTACACTGATGGAAATGGAAGAGGAAAGGGACTAACACTAAAACTAAGTGAACGTTGTCTTCACAATAAGCAGCTCACCCACGCAAGAAAATTTCCTAATGGTTGATCCTGGACAGAATTTTATTTTTATTTTCAAAAATGGATTCTGAATATTAATGGATGTACTGAATGAATACATATAACTAAAACAAAGGAAAACTAACTTAGGATGTGACAATCATCTAAAGAGCTGATACAAAGCACACTTGGTAAAACAGAGAAAGACCTCACCTTTCAAGTAGTGAGGAAACATATTTTGATATTACAGAGCAACTCGATTTTAGCTGAGCCATTTTTGTCTCTTCATCTTTCGAATTAACAGGAACCAAACTGCATAGATTTAAATTGCTCCATGGTGGCTAGTTATTGTCTCCATTATGAAGGTATCCTGTACTTCATAAAGCCAGGCAATTGCATCTGAAGATACTTTCCTTTTCCAATATTCAGTTAGAAGTCACAAAACTGACACTAACAAATATGAAAATAAATTTAGGATTTTAAAATTTGGTCGCTACCCTTTAGTAGGAGGCTCAATAAAATCACAGAAGGGTCTAGAGCCAACTTGGAGCTAGTAATTTTCAATGCAACTGAAAATACTTCACCCTCCACTGCCTTCCAATATGCATCAAAGCTGTATTTTGGAGACTAAGATTGCCCTAAACCTCCCATTATAGGACGTTGTTTTCAGTTGCTTATAACTTTGCCAAACTAACTCTTCAAGCTCAAGCTTCTTATGCCTGGCATCTGCCTCAGGCTAAAGTTTCAGTATAAACAGTTCAGCTAGTTCTGAGAAGGAGATCAAGGAAAAGCATGTTTTGCCCATGCTAAAACAAATGCTTACAACAATTTCATTGAGACGCTCTAGGGCTTCCACGCTTTGGAGCAGGGACTTGAAATCTGAGATTTCCTAACATTTGAATGCTTGACTTTCCAACCAACCTTAATGTTCTCTTCATGTATTTTGGGCGTGTCATTTTTATATAAAGGCAGAAGAGAACTTCCATTAGTTCATCACTCTGAGGTTCTATTAATTGTCAGAGAATCCTGCTGCATGCTACCAGTGTTGGAGAAAGGAAAGGTTATGGTCATCTAGTCTGGCTTCCTGCATAACACAGGACATAGGATTTCACCAGTGATTCCTGCATTAAGTCCATAATTTCTGGTTGAGCAAGAGTGCATGTTTAGAAAGACACCCAAACTTGATTAAAAAGACTTCAAGAGAAGAAGAATCCACCATGTCCCAAGGCAAATTGTTCCAGTGGTTAATTACCCCAACTGTTAAAATTCTACATGACAGATACAAAGGTGAGTGAGATAATATCTTTTATTGGACCACTTTCTGTTGATGGAAGGGACAAGCTTTCAAGCTTCATAGAGTTCTCTTCCTCAGGTCATATGAGAGAGTTCTGTGAAGCTGAAAAGCTTGTCCCTTCCACCAGGAGAAGTTGGTTCAATATAAGATATTATTTCACCCATCTTGTTTCTCTCATATCTGGGGACCAACACAGCTACAACACTGCAAATAACAATGGAAAATTCTACATGGGAGTTTCATACAGCTGACAACCCTTCCATCAAGGTTTCTGTTTCTTAGCAGAAAATAAAAATAATGTAGGGGAATATCAAGAAGTCCTCGCTGTTCAATACTTATCTAATGCTTTATCAGGGCTCCATATCAAGTGCAGCTGAGCTAACTAAAAAAGGCACTTATTCTGGGCCTACCAGACCATCCTTGGATATTGGTCTCTAACATATTTTGCTAGAGACTCTGGGTATCTTTCTTCCCCCAAATAAAGTGTATAACGTTGGCATGCATCTCCTTTGGTAGTCTCCAATGGAAAGGTTTGAAATAATTTATTGATTTTGGATAGCAAATTCATTTTTTAATCAAAGCAATATTTCTAAACCAATTAGTGAGGGGTTTTTTTTTGTTTTGTTTTGTTTTTAAGTAAAAGCTTTTAAGAAAGGAAACTAAGCTGGAGCCAAAGAGCCTATTTAGGCAAGGAGCACAAACTAGGGTTTTGAGATGTTACAGTAACAAAAATAGAGTCACCACTTCATACCTGAATTTGCCTGCTCCAAAACTAAAATTAAAAAAAAGGAGTTTCTAAGTTTTGGACCAAATCCATCACTTCACATTCCATCTAAAATTTACTTTACATCCTAAGACTTCTCCAAAGTCAGTAATTTCCTGAACAATTCTGTCGAACCATTTATATTCACATATGGTCCTTTTCATTGTGCTGGCAATTCAGTGACTGATTATTTTCACACTCATATCGTATCACCAGGCAATATGACCGCTCTCCAGAGATGGTCTCCATGAGTGATCATCCTATCATTCACATGCACACTCACAGCTGCTGCTGCGGAGCCAAACTGGTACATGTTTACTGTAGTTTTCATGATGTGAAAAAGTTGCAAAAGTGATTTTACAGATATTTCAGTTTTTACATTTCCTTTGATGAAATGTTAAGCCCTTTGCAATCTTTAGTTCCCTACCATTTCTAAAGGGGGACTAGGTGTTTCACTCTGCCTGTGGTATCCAAAGTCTCACCTTGCTGATTTTGGCAGGTGGTGGCTGTGGTGCAGGCTGTGCTGGGGTTGGGGTTGACTGTGCTGAAGGCTGGGATTGATGCTGAGGCTGCGGCTGTGGCTGCGGCTGGAGGCCATGCGTGGGGATCTGGTGAACCTGCCCTGGTGTTGTCACATTCACCATATCGTTAGTCTGCACCTCAATTTTGTAGCCAGGTGGCAAGAAGGTATTGAAGCCCATGATCAAGTCAGGGTGACCTTTGAAGAGCTGAGACACGCGGCTGATCACCCCTGGAGTGTCAATACTGAAAAGAAACAAGAAGATAGAAAGGTCACAGATCTTGCAAAGGGCTCTCATTGGCAAACCAGGAACCCCACACAACGGAACTTTACTTTCCACTCAAATTTTTATCTAGCCATCGTTAGCCTGCGACAAAGCCAGGAAACCAGACAAAACTGATTCTTACTCATGTGTTATTTAACTTGACTGTAACGTAAGAGCAATTTTATTTGTCCAAATAACACTAACTCAATGTGATTTGGTCACAAGTCTGACGGCTCTGCAGCTACTGGCAAGCAGACAACCAAATGAATCAGTTGTAAGGACTGAACCTGTGAACTCCAACTCTCTAAGCAGAGATTTGGCACAAATGAAGGGACCCGCTTGGGCTCCAGAATGGAAAATACTGATCAACACTGCACTTCCCAGCACTTTCCAACCAGCAGCATGGATGGAGCAAACAGGAGGAAGAGGACTCTAGAGATTACCAAGAGACGGATAATCTCCAAAGTGGAAAGTGCTAACCATCTCTTGCCCGCATCTCCCAAACACACATGCGCGCGCGCACACTTTCTATCTAATATGAGAAAAGCAGAACATAAGTTGTTACCTTTGAGACTTAAATTCCTTCATTATGTCCAGGAAATCATTGTAGACCTGAGGCTGACTACCAAACTGCAGCTTTACCTGGTCAAGATAGGACAGCGCATCCTCCACCTGTGAGCAAAATAAAGGAGCTAAAAATATACCTCAGAGAAAAGTAGGTGACCACTCTTGCGCATGAACACACATTTGGAAAGGCACCTGCCTACAGTAAACCACTAAGAGTAAGCAATTAGGTAGCAGCCTGATCATAACATTGGCTAGTTTATAATCAGTGCTACCTGACCATTTGACACAGCCACATTCTATTGCTGGTATTTTTCTGTGATGATGCAATGTATGCATCAGCAGAAATAGTCCCAGTGAACACACTTCAAAGTAACCATTTCATCAGTGGCTGGGGTGATTGTTAGTAAAAACTCAGAGCTGGGCATGCACTATTTTTCCTACATTTTTTGTGGAAATTATTATTGAAGTCTAAAACTAAACATGGTGGGGGACCCTAGGAGGAAATTCCATGTATTAGTGCTGCCAGGTACACACTTGCACTTTTTTTTTTTTCAAATCAAAAGCCAGACATTTCAATTTGGCTCATAAGGATTTGGAAATGCTAACTGTGGATGTTAACTCTGATGTATCTCAAACAGCAAGAATGCCATGTGGAAACTTAGTTTCTATTTATGAATGGTCCATATCCCTATGTCTGATTTTCAGGAGGTGCTGTCTGAGCAACCACAGCCCTCAGTGAGACTTCTGGCTGCTTCTTATGTCTGAAAGTCAGGCTACAAATGAATATACTGCAAGAGCCATCCATCCCCCACTTTGCTCATTACCAGATTGTCTGGAGGTATGAAAGCTCTATATGCAATAGAAGCCTTCTGGAATAATATCTGAGACTGTCACTGGAGTTGTTCCTGTTTTATTGTATGGGAAATACTGAAGTTAATTAAAAAGCTAATTAAAAGAGTTTTTAATCCATATTCATCTAAAGTCTGATCTTGAACCATCAGAGGTTTTGCCATTGATTTCAAAAGGAGCAGAATCTGATCCCAGAATATGGGAAAGTAGGTCCCCTGGAAAGTAAGCACTCTGTTGCTCTGTTTACTGTTTTAAAATGTGGGAGCAACGAAAGACACTTCAATATGTTTTCCAAAAGAGAGGAGTAAGAAATAGACATAGAATCATATACATGTGTGCTTACTACAGCTGATCTGAATTTAACCACTTCAATGTGTTATTTTTGGTGGGGGAAGGGGGTTAAGGGAATTCATTGCAAACAGTGTAAGAACAGAGCCTTGCTCACTCCCAAGCATCTCCGCAACACCCACCCACGCAAAGCAACATTTTCAGGAAACATTCAGAAAAGCCTCTAGATGCTGTGGTAGTTTAACCCTTTCACACATGGGCTCTGCATCAAATCTCCTTGGCCCACCTTCTTTCCTCCCCAAACCTGTTGATTAGAACTCCAGATTTCATTATTTTGCTACAGCATTTGAAAAGAAAATGCATTAATGGAGGCAGGAGGGGGAGTCTTTGGCTTACACAGTCTAAATCCCCTTCTTCATACTGAAATATTAACAGTGTATAGGGCCAGCTTTCAAGTCATGAATTCCAGGCTTCTGTGGCTCATAAGGAAAGCTTTTAACAGGCAGTCCAACTGGCTCTTCTGGGAGGCTGGTATTACATATGCAATAGCCAAGGGCCCCAGATTACCCCCAAACTTCTGGCACAGGCCTCAGAAACTGCTGCCTGCTCTGCAGCAGCATAACACAAACAGAAGTCGATAGCTTTAAAGATTTTATTGAATGAATATACAGTACTTCAATACTTACTTTTGACATTCAATAAAATGTGATTTTTCCATTCATTTAGGCTGCTACACAAACTGAAGCTCACCACAGAGTTTACCAGGTCACAGAAGTCAGGGGTTTTGCTGATGAATATTGGTACAGCACAGACTACATGGGACTCTGTATTATCTACACATAATGCTTATGCCAGACTCCTTGGGTTTGTTCTGAACACCATGCCAAAGGCCAACTTCCAACTCCCACCAAGTCGTCCATAAATCTAGCCTAACCGCCCTTCATTACAAAAACATTATTACAAAATCAGCAACTATTACCTGAGATATCTCATCCAGTTAGATCAGATACCAGTGCAGATGAAACTACCACCAACTAAGCAGATGCTGCCCTTCAAAACACCCATTTTACAGAATGATCAATTGGAGCTTGGTGTTACCTTAAGCCTCTGGAACTGCTGCTGCCCCTGCACTGGTGCTGCTGGAGGGGTCGGGTGAGCATGACTCTGCACCACCTGGCTTCCATGAGGCTGCACTGGTGTAGTGTGATGATGTCCACTATGGACGGTTGCTATAGCAGGGCCATGACTGCCTGAGCTCTGTGGCACAGCCGACACCTGGGGAAGGAAGATAAGAAAGCAGCTGGGGGTTAGGGCTTTATCTGCTCTTGGAAATTCCCTATTGGAAAACTGTGTACACTAACAATTCATGCTTCAGTGCGGACATGGACTTACATAGCGCCTTTCATCAAGGCGCAACCCTCACAGTACTGAAATGCAACACTTCTGTGGTGAAACAACTGCTGCTTATTGTGAAGCTAGTTTAAAAGCAGCCTCGAGTCCTATCCATTCCTGAATGCACAGATGCTGCATGAATTTCATCTGGTGACTATCTGTAAAATGGGTATAACCACCTTTATCCAATTCCTTGGGCAGCTGTGCACTGTAGCTGTTTATAAATAAATGCTTCAGCATCTCTGGATAAAAAAATACAAACTACAATTTTGAATTGGCAGAATGTCACCAAGTCTGTACTTTCACCATAGCACCAAGACTAACAGCCTTATTCATTAAATGCATTTTGGGCTCTTTAACCATGACCTGCAAAAAGAAAAAAAAGAAAAAAAAAAGGCTGTTTTCTTTCATTTTCTCTGATTTACAAGGCCTTGAAGATTTTTTTCAGAAGTACAAAAGGCGGGAACCCTCTCTGGGTTTATGATAGAAATTCAGGTCTTGTCCAGCCTGGAAAACTCTCTGGTGACTGGAGAACTAGTGACGTGACACCACCACAAGAGCCTGGAGCGAAAGTAAGAAGGGGAAGGGATTTTAAGGCAGATTTGGACAAATTTATCAGTGCAATTGTATGATCGGGGTTACTTTTGATGGTGGGGGCAGGGCTCAAGAGCCCCAAGGCTCACATTTGGTTTATGTTTTACATTCCTAAAAAGCTCACGCTTCAGGGTTTCACCCAGCCACTGGCAGGGGACAGGAAGGATTCTCCTCCCTGCATGTATTCTGGCAGGGTTTTTTTTTTTTTAATCTCCTTCCTTTGACACATCAGAGATGGCCATGGCTGGAGATAGGACATTTGGGGGGTGGCCAGGGCTCTAAGGTGGCACTAAGCATTCTCTCTCAGCTACTTGGCTGGCTGATTCTTGTTCACATGCTCAAGGTCCATCTGATCACCGAATCTGGGGTCAGGAAAGAATGGCAGTGACCTTGGGGGGTTTTCACCTTCCTCTGCAGCGTGTAAGTGCGGGTCACTTGCCAGTATTTTCTGGGTCTCTCTCACTTAAGCATTTCCCTGCCATCTTGGGGGCTGCAGGCATCGGTGCACTGGGGTCCCTCCTATTCTCTGCCCATGGCTCATAACGTTCTAGTCTCCTGTGGGCTGCAATACTTTGGTTTCATTTCAGTTGTTGTGTTTAGTGTGCATGAGCTGGGTAGGGCTGGCGGCCTGTGAGATAAGGAAGGTCAGACTAGATGATCTGGTGGTCCCTTCTGCCCTTAAACTCTGATTCTATGAGATAGAAACAAAACCAGAGTTTGACTCTACTACCACCTATTTAATGGCACAATGACTAACATTTTAGATAAAGAAAGCCTTTGTTAAAGATTCAACACCATAGCTCTTCAATTTAGGTGTTAGAACTCTCAATTAATATCCTTTGGACCCCCCAGAGATCCTCCAGCAAAAACCTGTGAAGACCCAAACTTGATGCTTACCTTTAGAAAAATCCAGAAAGACAAGCAGAACAAACTCTTTTGAACATGCACTTTTCAGCCTCCTTTATACATCATAAAGGAGCAAAAAGAGTTCAATTTAAAAATTCTTTAATGAATACTTAGCTTGAATTTTTTAAAAATTTGATTTAAAAGAATCCAGTTTTTTTAATAGAGCACCTGCTTCAAAACAAAACAAAAAACAAGAAAGGTTTTTTTGCTCCCCTATTCACATTTAGAAGACTCTTAAGAAGGCCTGAGAGCAACATCAAACTTACCTGGGCCAACTCTCCAGACCTCTATCCCCATCTCTGAGTACATGCCTGCCTGCTATCTGCCTGCTGTTGCTGTTAGTAGTGAACATCCTTTTGGAGAGCCTGGGGTAGCGTGCACACATGAGTTGGTCCCCAGGCCAGTGCATGAGATGGGAAGTGCAACTGACCAGCAACAAAACCAAGGCAAGGATGATATATAGAGTGCTGGCAAAAACTAAAACACTGGGAAAAATAGAGGACAAATATTTCTCTCTAGTGTTTCATTTATAGAAATCTTACATGCTGCTATTAGATTAATAAATACAAATTTTTCAGACGACGCAATGTTCAAATTGGCAATGTTTCTTTAATAAGCACAAAAAGTCAGGAGCTCAAAGGGAAGAATGCCACCTAATCAATCACCAGCATCACTTCCCGCTGCACCTGGATTTTCCCTGGAAGTCTCCCATCCAAGTATTGATCCAATCCAGTCTTGCTGAGTTTATGAGCTGAAAAGACCACAGCAAAGGTTGACAGGCTGCAGGACGAACTATCCTACTTAAAAAGGGGGGGGGGGAACCCCACTTACTGGCCTACTTCTGAATAGGAGATAATTCAGAGATCAGGGTATGAGGGTCCCCAATTTAGGCCTTAACTCAGCAAGGTACTTAAGCACATACCTAATTTTGAGCTTGTGATCAGTTGCCACTAAAATCATGGGACTTAAAGCAAGTGCTTAAAATCAGGCACGTGCTTAAATATACTGTTAAATTGGGGTCTTAATTTAAGAGGCCATTGTTGGCAAAATAATAATTGCTGTCACATGTAGAACCCCACCATAGATTATTAAACATGCATCTTGCATTGTATGGTCGTTGCTGTTCACACAACGAGACTGAATTATTCTCTGGTTCACACTAAGTAACAAGCGAGCATACCTGGTAGCTGGGAGTTACAGAGTACTGAATTCCAGTGGCAGACTGCATGGTCTCCGAAACCGCCTCATATACAGGAGGTGCTGGAGCAAGCACACGCTGCTGGTGTTGGAAAGCTTCTGTGCTGCTGGTGATACGTCTCTGCTGTGACGTGTACACCGGTGACTCCTGCTCATCCAATCGCCGCTTCATTCTGAACTCATGCTCAGGGAAGCACTACAAAACCTGCTAAAACAGTTCAATTAACAAACAGAAGTGATTAATCATTCTCCCTTAATGAATATGATGTTGAGCTCATCGACAGGAGGCATAGGATAGGTAAGGCAGGTTTCTGGGCACCCATTTAACTTAATTATTTCTTGGATAATTTTTTTGAGGGGGATGTGCGTTTGGAATCAGGATTAATTTTTTCAGGTGAAATAGTAAAATTGCATTTTTTTAGATACTAGCCTATTTTAGAACTCAAATATTCAGGTTGAAAGTAGAAGTTGATAATTTCTTCAACAAACTGAACTGAAGTACATTTCTAATTTGAACATCGTTAACATATGTAGATTCTGAACAAAGCCACGTTTCCATACAACACAGACTGGAGATGGTTGAGGAGTTTCTGGCAACAGAAGTCCAAGTAGCTCTTTCACTGTGGCGGTGAATCTTAAAAGGCCTTCAACTATCCAATGAAGTGCTTACTATGAGTTTTACACTTTCAGTGTATGTCAGCTGTGAGCCTGCAACAGCCCAGGTAGGATGCTAGCCAGCCCTGTGGGAAGGGGTTTCAAGAAGCTTTGAGAGCGGGTAGGGAATTTAACTCTAATCTAAATAATGTAGGGGCCAAAATCAGGTTCTCTCAGATTTTACACACTGAAATAAAGTTAGCAGTAAATCCAGAACAAGAAAAAAAAAAAAAAACCCTGAAGTCTTGCTAGTAAATTTAGTTTTGATTCCACATCCCTCTCCAATAAGTTTTACCCAGCCCCCAGTGTCATTGCAGATCACCAGTGTCACTAAGTGTCAAAAATTGGCCCCAATGTTTCCTCAGGACATCAGAAGACAATGATGAACAACCCACCACCTGCAGCTCCCTCAAGATCTTCCTGCAACACACATCCAAAAGACATATGCTCCTGCTCCAATCCAAATAGTGTTTCCCTAATTCACTCTAAATTTGTGTCACTATTCTGCCCTCCCACCCCTTCAAATTCTGTAAATTCTTCACTTTAATTGCATGACCTCTCCTTTCCAGCCAGGATATTCAACAACTGCTGCCTTCTAGGTCGTGATAGTTAATGTCACTCCTGAGAAGTTATTTATTCTTCATACAACCACTGAGAGTGTTCAAGCACATTCAGTCTCTTTCTCCAATCCAGCACCACATCCTAAAGAGCGAAACTCTCTTTTCTCGGTCTGGAATACACCTGGGTCTTTCCAAAGCAAATATATAGCCTTGCCAGTTTCAGTGTAATTAATGAATAATTCACTGCTAGCAAGGAACCTAACAGAAGCGGTCCCCCAGCAGATGTAACTGGGCTCACCCACCCCCTCCCCTCCCCAAAAAAACACCCATAAACCAACAACCTTCACGCCTCACTTCAATTAGCTTCCAAAAAATTTCTAAGTTGTGAAGTTATACTGACTCTTCAGTTTGAGTGCTTAATTAGCCAACCAGATGACAAACAGTGATCATCAATATATGTATGTATAACAAGCATATGCACAGCAAATGGTGTATCAAGAGTCCACGTGTAGGTTCTTAGTATTTAAGAATGCCTTTGAAGGTACAGACTAATTGTGTAACTTCTTACTGCTTTCCCTGGAGCCTCTTTTCTCTTTCACTAGTTCTTTCTTTCCCCTTCTTGCAGGATCTCACTTTTTTATTTGTTGAAGTTGTACTGTGAAGCTTGCACCCCTCTCTCAGAAGAGAATCCCCCATCAGGAACCTACCATATCTATTGTAAGGGGCCTTCTGATACTGATCAATAAGCTCTGGAACGAGGAGGAGGAAATTACTAAAACCTAATTCACAGGGTACTGAGCCTAGCAGACCACAGTGACATCTGGAGAACAAAAAGGCAAAAATACAGGCGAAACGGAGTTGATTTTCCTGGTTTTATCTGCTGTTTTTGGACTGACCTCTGCAAATGACTCCAGCATCTGCCCCATGATTTCATTTACTGTTACCCTCCTAGGGTTTAGAAACATTTTAGCTTTGTAAAAAAATATTTTACAGATAGCATAGCTGGAATCTAAACAAGTAAAACAGCAGAATTTGGCCATGCACCTTTGATAGAAGCCCCATCTAGGATTTCACATCAACATGGTGATAATAAGGGCATGTCTACCCTACAATATTAAGTCGACATGTTAAGTCAACATATAGCCGCTGCAGTTATTAAAGCGATGGTTAACGTCCACACCTTGCTCCTTCTGTCGGTGGTGTGCGCCCTCACCAGGAGCTTCAGCTGTCACTGCCCACATGGTTAAGTCAGCAGGAGTCCCACTCCTGGGGAGTAGGCGGAGACTCCAGCTGTGAGCCCCTTGCTGGGCTGACAGCCAACAGACAATGTAAGTAACACAGTGCCTACATGGACAATGGGGCGCCCTAACTACACTGACCTTAGTGCTATGCCTCTAGCGGAGATGGAGTTATTAAGTTAATGTACTGGGCTACTTGTATTGGTAGGAGCTACATTTTACTGTAGATGCTTACAGAGTTAGGTCGACGTAAGCTGCCTGATGTCAACCTAACGCTGTAGTGTAGACCAGGCCTAAGTCAAGTCAAAGCAAAGCCTTGATAGCACTCACTTACAATGCGTGCTCAGGAATATGGAGCAGCTTAGAGGTAAGTCCCTATGTGTCCACTTAACTTTTGTTCTGTCCCCTCCCCATTCTTACATTGTTAATCTCTCTAGGCTTAGTTCACTCCTTACCCTTTTAACAGAGCAGTAGCATACCACAGTAATGCAACCATCACAAAAACACTTCCAGCAGTTACAAAGTTAATGCTCTCTCTCCTCCCACTTCTCCCCAACAAACCGGGCATGAAACTTTTCAATCCAAATTCACAGTTTGCAGCCAAGTAGCAAGTGAGCCAGCTATAATAGGCCTAATGTAGAACGTGCACAGGGGTATAATTCCAGAATACAGAAACACTGAAGCGAAAGATACAGTTGCAAAGACCATCTAATATAATGTTCACGTCTAACAAAGCTCTGCTGTTTGTGTGTAAAGAAACACATTCCATTTTTCACTTTTGCTGGGCTAGTCAAGGGTTAAAGTAGATGCTGAGCTGCATAAAAGGCTGTGTAAGGCCAAATAACTGCTAGAAGAGTCTTGCACACTTACTGTTATGAGGATTACAATTCCACCTGGGACTACAAGGTCAGCCTTTTCTTCCAAGGAGCAACAGAAGATCTCAGATTATAGATTTACTACAGTCTCGCAAAGGTGCATGGATGAGTTATCAGCTACAAGTCATCTGCTGGCAAGGTTGGCTTAGTCGTCTAACCATCAAGTCTGGAATTCCTAGACTGCCTGGTAGACCAGTTTAAAATTCTTACAGGGTCAACTCAACCCTTTAGCTTCCCAAGGCAGACAATGAAGTTCCACACAGCAAACTGTATGTGGATGTTTTGGATGTAAACTTAAAACCAGGCCCTGTTTGCTCTTAATTTTCACTAAAGATCCAAGGCCATTTTTGCACAAATTAAACACGGAGGCTGCATGCTATAAGCTAGACAGCTGCCTTGCACACCAGAGTACACAATAATTGTGCGGCACTGTATGTAGGCAGTCCGTCCAACCTGGAAAGGGCTTTTCCTCCTCACTGTCTTAGCCCTGGTCTACATTACGAGTTTAGGTCGAATTTAGCAGCGTTAGATCGATTTAACCCTGCACCCGTCCACACGACAAAGCCATTTTTGTCGACTTAAAGGGCTCTTAAAATCGATTTCTGTACTCCTCCCCGACGAGGCGATTAGCGCTGAAATCAACCCTGCTGGGTCGAATTTGGGGTAGCGTGGATGCAATTTGATGGTATTGGCCTCCGGGAACTAACCCAGAGTGCTCCATTGTGACTGCTCTGGACAGCACTCTCAACTCAGATGTACTAGCCAGGTAGACAGGAAAAGCCCCGCGAACTTTTGAATTTCATTTCCTGTTTGGCCAGCGTGGCAAGCTGATCAGCACAGGTGACCATGCAGAGCTCATCAGCACAGGTGACCATGGAGTCCCAGAATCGCAAAAGAGCTCCAGCATGGACCAAACGGGAGGTACTGGATCTGATCGCTTTATGGGGAGATGAATCCGTGCCATCAGAACTCCGTTCCAAAAGACGAAATGCTGGAATATTTGAAAAAAGTCTCCAAGGGCATGAAGGACAGAGGCTATAACAGGGACCCGCAGCAGTGCCGCGTGAAACTTAAGAAGCTCAGGCAAGCCGCGTGAAGCCTACCAAAGAACCAGAGAGGCAAATGGCCGCTCCCGGTCAGAGCCCCAGACATGTCGCTTCTATGATGAGCTGCATGCCATTCTAGGGGGTGCCCCTACAACTACCCCACCCCTGTGCTTCCCTCTTCCCCCACCCCTCCCGGGCTACCTTGGCAGTTATCCCCCCATTTGTGTGACGAATTCATAAAGAACGAATGAATTTGAAACAACAATGACTTTATTGCCTCTGCAAGCGGAGCTCAAAGGGGGGAGGGGAGGGCGGTTGGCTTACAGGGAAGTAGAGTGAACCAAGGGGGCAGGTTTTCATCAAGGAGAAACAAACAGAACTTTCACACCATAGCCTGGCCAGTCATGAATCTGGTTTTCAAAGCTTCTCTGATGCACAGTGCACCCTGCTGTGCTCTTCTAACCGCCCTGGTGTCTGGCTGCGCGTAATCAGCGGCCAGGCGATTTGCCTCAACCTCCCACCCCGCCATAAACGTCTCTTCCTTACTCTCACAGATATTGTGGAGCACACAGCAAGCAGTAATAACAATGGGAATATTGGTTTCGCTGAGGTCTAACCGAGTCAGTAAACTGCACCAGCGAGCTTTTAAACGTCCAAAGGCACATTCTACCACCATTACGCACTTGCTCAGCCTATAGTTGAACTGCTCCTTACTACTGTCCAGGCTTCATGAGCCATGGGAGCAAGGGGTAGGCTGGGGTAGGTGTGACCGCGCGATGCTGCCGACAGACTCAGACTCATAGACTTAAAGGTCAGAAGGGACCATTATGGTCAT